CCCTATGACAAAAAATGGAACACACCAGCAGTGTGAGGAGACCTGAAAGTGGCACATGTTTGGGGCATGATTCATGGCGGATTTAGTCAGTTGTGTCAGGAACTGGTGGGTTTGAAATCCAGACTAATCCACGCCTGATTCATTTTCACACAAACGTGAGTCTCTCCACACTTTGGGTGGACAGTCGTGTCCTCCGCGGAGTTACAATACCTCCTGCCGCACTAAACACGCGCTCCGATGCCACGCTACTGGCCGGGCATGACAGCCTTTCAAGGGCAAATTCAGCTAGTTGGGGCCAAAGGTCAAGTTTCGTTGCCCAGTAGTCAAGGGGATTGTCTACCTCGGTTGGCAGGGTGCTGTCCAAGTAGGCCCAAGCCTGTTGTTTGAGGTCCTGCTCCAGGTCCACCTGATGCTGCTGCTGCTGTGGCTGGTTAGTAGTTTCCTCACTGCGCTGGTGAAGAAAGCTACTCATCATCGACTGCAGACTGAGGCAGCCGCTGCTGGTGGAGCTGCCACTGCTCCTACCACCCCCCACCCCTCCCCTGCTGCCATGGCAGCGGAACGCGAGCGCACAGGGCCCACAGTGTCTGAGGATGGACGTTGGCGCAGAAAGGCAGAGACCAACTGACTACATAGGTGGTTTTTATAGTACGTTATTTTGGCCTCCCTCTCAGCAGGTGTGAAAAAGGCCACCATTTTTGAACGGTAGCGAGGGTCCAACAAGGTGGACAGCCAAAAGTCATCCCTCTGTCTGATGGTTATTATTTGGCTGTCGCTACGCAAGCAACCGAGCATGCTATGGGCCATTTGTGCCAAGGAATGCGAGGGACTCCCTGCCTCCATCTCCACAGCATACTGCCACGGTGCGTCTGGGTCCTCTGTCTCCTCCTCCTCCTCCTCTACCAGATGCTCCTGCTCCTCCACTCCTGTCCGCTGAGTGGAAAAACCACCCATTTCACTCAATAATTCCTGAGCACAAATGTCCTCCTCTACCTCCTCCTCTTCTTCCTGTCCTGCCCCCACAGGGGTCATGTGGCGTTGAGATCTGTGCGCCACGTCTACCGCACCCTGACCAGCCATTGTTAACAGCATTTGTTCCAGGACGTGCAACAGAGGAATGACGTCGTTCATCCCATAGTCCTGCCGACTCACGAATAGCGTGGCCTCCTCAAAGGGCCTGAGCAAGCGGCAGGTGTCACGCATGAGCTGCCAATGGCTGACATCGAAGTTACACAGGGGAGTACCTTTATCCGCTTGTAACATCAGGAAATCGGTGATGGCCTTTCGCTGTTCGTAAAGGCGGTCTAACATGTGTAGGGTTGAATTCCACCTTGTTGCAACGTCGCAGATCAGGCGATGCTGTGGAATTCCGTTCTGCCGCTGCAGCTCAAGGAGGGTGTGCTTTGCGGTGTAGGAATGGCTGAAATGCATGCAAAGTTTACGTGACATTTTAAGGATGTCTTGCAGTGGGATGGTGGATTTTAGGAACCGCTTGACAACCAGATTGAACACGTGAGCCATGCATGGCGCATGGCACAACCTTCCTTGACGCAGAGCAGACACCATGTTCTTTCCGTTGTCGGTCAACATGGTTCCGATTTTCAGTTTGCGCGGAGACAGCCATCTGTCGATTTTTCTCTGTTCATTACACTCAGAAGTTCCTCCCCTGTGTGACTACGTTCGCCAAGGCATACCAGGTGCAGCACAGCGTGACACCGTTGCGCCCTGCACATGTGATATGCCGGTCGGGTATGGGACTTGGCACGGGGGTGGCGGCTGAGGACACGGCGGAAGAAGAGGTGGTAGAGGCGGACATCTTTGCTGGACCAAGGACGTGCAAACGTGGAGGCAAAAGCGGCGTGACCTGTCCAAGTTGCTGGTGCGGCTGTGTGACGGCACCACGTTCACCCAGTGGGCCGTAAATGACATGTACTGTCCCTGACCGTAGTTACAGCTCCACACGTCGGCGCTGCCGTGCACTTTGGCAGAGACCGACATGCTCAAAGACTGGCCCACCATCTCTTCTACATGTGAATGCAGGGCTGGCACTGCCTTTTTGGCGAAGAAATGACGGCTTGGCACTCTCTCCACCGCGGCGCGGCACAAGCCATCATTTCTCGGAAAGGTGCTGAGTCCACCACTTGGAAAGGGAGGGACTGCAGCACCAGCAACTTGGACAGGAGGACGTTCAGCTTTTGCACCGTCGGGTGCGTGCTCGCAAACTGTTGTCTCTTGAAACGGATTCCAAGAAAGACTGCTGACGGAATCCGTGAAGAGGAGTAGCAGGAGAAGGAGCATCTGAACGAGCGGAAGATGCCAACGAGCGACAACTCCCCTCAGCAGAGGTGTTGGAGCCTTGACTGGCTGATAGAGGGCGATTGACGTCGGGTGACGGAGCAAGTAACGGAGCGGGTGATGGAGCGGGGGCTGGGGCAGGCAGAACCGCCGTATCTTTATCACGGTTTTCCCAGGCCACCGAATGGCAACGCTGCATATGCTGACGCAACGCTGTAGTCCCAACATGGGCCCCCTGGCCACGCTTGACTTTCTGGCCACATAGTCGACATACGGCTACGTTTACTTCCTCGGGCGGCTTGACAAAAAAATTGCCACACCCGCCGAGTAGGAAACTTTTGCCCCCGCTACTCCTCACTGGCTGACTGCTACTTCCTCCGTGCACACCGGCACCACTACTACTGCCGGTGGTGGTAGGCTGCAGTGGAGCTGGTGCTACTACTCCGTGGCCGTTTGCCTCCACTGACACTGCTGTGCGACCCTGCTGCCCTCCTGGGCAACCCACCGACTGTTTTGCTCGCTGCCAAGCTGCCACCCTCTTCTCCTGATGATGCGGAAGCAATAGCCTGATGACGACGACGACGAGGCTGCCAAGTGCGATCAGCCTCATCATCATCAATTAGGGTCTCCGCCTCACTACTAGCCCCCTCGGCTGCGTGTGGGTCAGGAGACAGACCTGTCTCTAGACCGGCTACCGAGCCACTCTCCTCGCCACTACTTCTTCGCCTGGCTGCTGAAGAGGCGGATGTCTCCCCCCGTTCCTGACCGCCCTCTGTTAGCTCTTCCTCACTGTACAGTGGGGCTGAGCCCACAGCATGCGATACTTCGCTTGGTGAGGGAACACCAAAGGACAGGGGCAGGTAGAGGACACGTGATTTCAGTGGGCTTGCTCCCGGGCCATGCCAACTAACGGTTGTGTCTGACGTACCCACCGACCGTTGGCTGTAGGTGTCAGAGGTGACCTGGGAAGAGGAAGACGACCGAGCCAACCAATCGATGACGGCAGGGTTGTCGGTGGAGACACGACCGCTGGATGACACCGGGAGCACTGGCCTCTGGCTGCGACTAGTGCTGCCTCGACCCCTTCCTCTGCTGCCACGTCTGCTCGCTCCTGAAACATTGCCTCCTCTGCCACTCCTCTGCGTGTTGTCTGACATACTCTTTAATTCAACGATTCTGTGTCCCTGAGTAACGATTCTGTGTCCCTGAGTAACAATTCTGTGTCCCTGAGTAACAATTCTGTGTCCCCTGAGTAACGATTCTGTGTCCCTGAGTAACGATTCTGTGTCCCTGAGTAACGATTCTGTGTCCCTCAGTAACGATTCTGTGTCCCTGTCCCTCAGTAACATTCTGTGTCCCTGAGTAACAATTCTGTGTCCCTGAGTAACAATTCTGTGTCCCTGAGTAACGATTCTGTGTCCCTGAGTAACAATTCTGTGTCCCTGAGTAACAATTCTGTGTCCCTGAGTAACAATTCTGTGTCCCTGAGTAACGATTCTGTGTCCCCTCAGTAACGATTCTGTGTCCCTCAGTAACAATTCTGTGTCCCTGAGTAACAATTCTGTGTCCCTGAGTAACAATCTGTGTGTCAGTAACGATTCTGAGTCAGTAAACAATTCTGTGTCCCTGAGTAACGATTCTGTGTCCCTGAGTAAACAATTCTGTGTCCCTGAGTAACAATTCTGTGTCCCTGAGTAACAATTCTGTGTCCCTGAGTAACAATTCTGTGTCTGTGTCCCTGAGTAACAATTCTGTGTCCCTGAGTAACAATTCTGTGTCCCTGAGTAACGATTCTGTGTCCCTCAGTAACAATTCTGTGTCCCTGAGTAACAATTCTGTGTCCCATGAGTAACAATTCTGTGTCTGTCCCTGAGTAACAATTCTGTGTCCCTCAGTAACAATTCTGTGTCCCTGAGTAACAATTCTGTGTCCCTGAGTAACAATTCTGTGTCCCTCAGTAACGATTCTGTGTCCCTCAGTAACAATTCTGTGTCCCTGAGTAACAATTCTGTGTCCCTGAGTAACAATTCTGTGTCTGTCCCTGAGTAACAATTCTGTGTCCCTGAGTAGTAACAATTCTGTGTCCCTGAGTAACAATTCTGTGTCCCTCAGTAACAATTCTGTGTCCCTGAGTAACAATTCTGTGTCCCTGAGTAACAATTCTGTGTGTCCCTGAGTAACAATTCTGTGTCCCTGAGTAACAATTCTGTGTCCCTGAGTAACAATTCTGTGTCCCTCAGTAACAATTCTGTGTCCCTCAGTAACGATTCTGTGTCCCTCAGTAACAATTCTGTGTCCCTGAGTAACAATTCTGTGTCTGTCCCTGAGTAACAATTCTGTGTCCCTGAGTAACAATTCTGTGTCCCTGAGTAACAATTCTGTGTCCCTGAGTAACAATTCTGTGTCCCTCAGTAACGATTCTGTGTCCCTGAGTAACAATTCTGTGTCCCTGAGTAACAATTCTGTGTCTGTCCCTGAGTAACAATTCTGTGTCCCTGAGTAACAATTCTGTGTCCCTGAGTAACAATTCTGTGTCCCTGAGTAACAATTCTGTGTCCCTGAGTAACAATTCTGTGTCCCTGAGTAACAATTCTGTGTCCCTGAGTAACAATTCTGTGTCCCTGAGTAACGATTCTGTGTCCCTGAGTAACGATTCTGTGTCCCTGAGTAACGATTCTGTGTCCCTGAGTAACAATTCTGTGTCCCTCTGTAACTGAGTATTCTGTGTCCCTGAGTAACAATTCTGTGTCCCTGAGTAACGATTCTGTGTCCCTGAGTAACGATTCTGTGTCCCTGAGTAACGATTCTGTGTCCCTGTCCCTCAGTAACAATTCTGTGTCCCTGAGTAACAATTCTGTGTCCCTGAGTAACAATTCTGTGTCCCTGAGTAACAATTCTGTGTCCCTGAGTAACAATTCTGTGTCCCTGAGTAACGATTCTGTGTCCCTCAGTAACAATTCTGTGTCCCTGAGTAACCTGAGTAACAATTCTGTGTCCCTGAGTAACAATTCTGTGTCCCTGAGTAACAATTCTGTGTCCCTGAGTAACGATTCTGTGTCCCTAAGTAACGATTCTGTGTCCCCAAGTAACGATTCTGTGGCCCTAAAGTCTCTCTTGCCCTAACTCTGTCCCTAATACAGACAGGTCTGTCTCTCTTGAATGACCGGAGGCTAATGGAGAATTGTAAGATGGCCGCAATTTATAGCTCCACCATTACACAGTGCTGGCTGGCTGGCTGCTGATTGGCTAATGCGATCACATGTCATGAATGAATGCATTATGGGTCAGCGCGCCTTGTCTGCGCGCCTTCCCAGAGATCCCCGCGCTCCGTCGCCACACATGTCGCCGCCATTTTTGGGAAAATTCGATTCGTGCATCCGAAGTTTGCTAATTTTCGGATTCGGCGCGAATCAAATTTTTCCTGATCTTCGAAACGAATTCCACTTCGCCATGTTCGATTCGCTCATCTCTAGTGACAACAGTTGGTGCAATCATTCACAAATGGAAGAAACACAAAACTGTCAGTCTCCATAGTTCTGGTGCACCATGCAAGATCTCACCTGTAGCAACAAAGGCAAACTGCTGGAGGGATTCAAGGCCAGAGGACAAAGGGACATCCCACTGGAAGTGGACTTTTCTGCTAGCATTTGGGGAGAGGTTCCCCACAGTAGCTGGGACTTCTAAAGAAGCTGCATAGATTAAGCCTCGCACATACATTGAGAATATCAGATAAATGATTGTTCATTTGCATTTTATATGGGCACTCTGCTACCATGCCCAATGGTCTACAGAGCAGCACAACACAGAAATTACCTTATGTTGAGTTGTATTGCAATGAAAAAGGAGCAATGTTCATTTTTTGGGCCAAAGCATTTTATTGGAGGCCCATTTATATTGAATAGGCTACATTAAAGCAAGCAGTGTAATGCCCGATAAACCGCTCATGTTATATCATATATGTCCATCCTCTCCTGTGTGCTACCAGCTTGTAAAACAAGGCATGCAAGGAGTACATGCACCTGAGTTATATCCCATTCAGTTGAAATGTTCATATCTTGTAATGTTGTAATATGCCATATCTGGCTTCTAGTCTCACTTCTTAGGTGTGCTGCAAGAACAGGCTTAGCAAACAGTGACCTCCCCAGGTTACAATATATAGGCTTAAGTAATATGGGGCAATTGGCAGCCACATGTCCCAGACCTTGGCACCATTATCACCTAAAATGCCATATCTCTCAAGAAGATTCCTTTTGTGTTAGAAGACCAATCATATCTGGCACCCATAGGACTCCTATTTGCATCTACTGTCCCCCTCTGGCTCTAAAGACTGAGAACTGAGAAACCAAACACCGCTGATTGCTCAACTCTCAGTCATCAGACTGCAGAGAGCTGGTGACTGTTAGTTACCTCTCTTTGCTCTACCCCTCCAGGGCTCACTCAAGCGCTGGGCTGTAGACAGGCAGGATCTTTTCAGAGCCTGGACTGGCTGAATGATATCAGCCAACAACAGGCTTTAGTCAGCTGTTGGCTGAAAACGGGCCACAGCAGTGCGCACCAAACTGCACTATTGTGTTCCCCTGGAGAAGTATAGCCAAAATCGCTTTGGCTATACTTCTCTCTTAACAGGTAATTCTGTGATGTAATGGTGATGTAATGGTAGTAGACCACTCATTCCACAATCTGAGCAGGCTTGAGAACTTTAATTGTCTGTAAGGTGGAACAAATCGTACATTTAGGACCTTTTAAGCTACCCAGGGTCAAATTCCCATGTTACTGTAACATTACCATGTACATACATAAATATATATTATATGTATATTTTGTACTTTATATATTGTGTATTCTATATAAATATTCTGTATGTTACTATTGGATACATGGGAATTAAATTTGGTATTGGGTTTTAAAACAGACTACTAAGACATTATTTACATTTGTTCACATAATTACTTTCCATACATATCTCTTTAAGGCATAGTAATTGAAGTTTAGAACAATTAAATCCAAGTCTATACATTTTATATTCCAGGAAGATTACATTCTTAGAACAAAATGACCTTGCCAATCTCAGCAGAAGCACTGACTGGCTCGGCAAGTCAAAGTCTTTCCATAAAACTACTGTTTTAACTATATTACATAAATCAATCATTAAACAAGAGGACCAGTCATAAATACTGTGCAGAAAGCTGCAGTATTAGAGGTAAAATGACACTTCATTAATTATAATTACTATGGTGAAATTCATCAACTAATGCAAAAAAAAAAAAAAAAAAAAAAAGTGTCTGTAATTAAAAGCTTCGTGGGAATAGATATAGAGATTTCACCGTGTATATTTTCAAAGAGAAGAGAGTGTGATGTGGTTGCAATTTAGAAGATAAGCTACTTGCACAAATACTTCATTTGAATGTTCCCAGACACTATCTGTACATGATTTGTTAACGGAAACACATCACAGAAAGGAAAACGTTCTGAAGAAAAATATCAGCGGATGAGTTGAACATTAACATTGAATAAGTTATTTTAAGACACGGTATCACAACCCCCCTCCTTCCCCAATCCTTCCCTCCCTATCTATCATAGCAACAATTCATTTGCATATAGTGGTAGAGACCTGTAAGCTTTAAAACTTCTCAAATGATAGAAAATAAAAGCTGTTTTGTGAATCTTTTAATAAGTCTTGCTAAATTGTAATGCAATTAGAGTTATTGTAACACAAGATCTGATGGATAGGTACCAGAGCAAAGAAAAATCTATACAGCTGTTCCTCATAGCAACTAATAGGGTTTTCATTTACTGGGAAAACAATTAACAGAAACCCAGAGGAGTGCAATGTGGGATCACCAATACCAATGGCATTGGTTACTGTGTTGTTATCAGCACCGGAGGATCCAATTTAATACTATGATCCTTAACCAATCAAACAGCCTGAGCGCTGTATGCTTAGTCCTCCATGCTGACCACTTTCCCAACTATACGACATCCCTGGACCTCTCTAGACCTCCCTTGTCTGTTTTTACCCAGTAGCAAAGACTCCCTAAAGAGATGCTGAGATGTTGAGTCCTTCTGCGGCTCCCAGTGGTGACCTGCACAGAACCAAACCCAACACTTCCTAACACACCAGTAGTGATGCAAAAAGGGTTTTATTAGGACCAATATAAGCCCTGAAAATAGAATAATGATAGCAGAGATATTATAGGGTAGGGTTGCACATTATAGAATACTAGAATATTAAATAGGACAATAACAGTTACTATTTGTTTCCTTAAATTGCCTGTCAAGGGCCCAGCCCTTTATTGAAGTGCCACACCAAGGCTTAGAGTCCAAAATGAGATTTTTTATTCCAAATATATGTAGCACTCTCATAGATAGGTGCTAGGTTTAGATAGGCAGATTTAGTTTGTATTCTGATAGGTAAATTTAGTTGCCATACTGTAGACAGTGTGGTTGTAATTATTGTTATCTGCTCAGCATGTTCAGCTGCAGCAAATAGGTGTGGAGCTATGCAGATGGCAGCATTAGTAGATTGCTTTAAAAAAGGCCTACAGATACACAGAATATAACTGGATACTAACCAGGGGCAGACTGAAAACTAATGGGCCCCCCGGGCAATAGGGGATCATGGGGCCCCTGTGTCCTTGCCCAAACTCAAAAAAGCCTATGAAAAAGGTACCAGGGGCATCTCATGGGGCCCCCTACTGACCCCCCGGGCAATAGGGGATCATGGGGCCCCTGCGTCCTTGTCCAAACTCAAAAAAGCCTATGAAAAAGGTACCAGGGGCATCTCATGGGGCCCCCTACTGACCCTGGGCCCTTGGGCAGTGCCCGAGTTTCCAAATGGTCAGTCCGCCCCTGATACTAACATTTATAGGTAAAGTTGATCCAGGGAATATCTGATTGCCTCTCGGGGGAACAGGAAGGAATTTTTTTCCCTGCAGGAGCAAATTGAAACATGATTTGCTGGGTTTTTTGCCTTCCTCTGGATCAACTGTGGGTATAGGATTATAATATTTTTTTTTTTTAAATGGTTGAACTGGATGGACTTTTGTCTTTTTTCAGCCAGACTAACTATGTAACTATTATATGTAATATTGATACAGCCTCAGCCTATCCCAGAGAGAGAGGCTCTGATGGTATTCTGGGTAACTGTATATATTTAATGAGCACACTAACTCCAGGTCTTTCCTGAATATGATTGTTTTAGCCTGAAGAGGGAATGCTGCCTTCCCAGGCAATGCTGCTGAATCTACTGCTATAAGTCTCAGTTGGGAGACCCGAGTGACTGACTGTCTATTGAAGAACTGGTCTGGTATCACAAAGGAAGGTAACCTTCTGCTCTTGGGCTTTGTGAGTACAGACAACCCTAAAGGTGTGCTACTATAACCCCTCTGGTGATAGAGAGTCAGCTGCGGGTGTAGCTAAAGGGGACACTGGCTGCTGTTCTAAAGAACTGTGTCCACTTAATCTCTTACCGAAAAGGTACTCTGCTCTAGTTTGCTGCTACTACTACTACTACTACTACTACTGCTACCTTAAAGCTGAAGTCTGCTGTTTGTTTCAAGCACAGACTTTGTCTTAGCTTATCTGAAAGCATACCTAAAGTCCTCAGCTGTACATTGTTCTTGTTTTTGGAGTATCCCACCTAATTCCCTCAGCCCTATCCATGTTCTTCATAAATAAAAACAACAAAAACAACACCCCTAGACTGGTCATTGAATAATCTTGTAAATGACCCTAACTGCTTGGCAGGGGAAGACCTGGACCATATTCCTGTGGCTCCTACAGTAGTAGCTCTACACATACCAGGGGCGGACTGACCATTTGGAAACTCGGGCACTGCCAGAGGGCCCGGGGTCAGTAGGGGGCCCCATGAGATGCCCCTAGTACCTTTTTCATAGGCTTTTTTGAGTTTGGGCAAGGACACAAAGGCCCCATGATCCCTTATTGCCCAGGGGCCCCATGAGTTGTCAGTCTGCCCCTGACACATACTAAGTATAATAAGTGCTACAGGCAACACATTAGTTGTAGCACCTGTTAGATGCTTGGAATGAAACCTAATTTTGGAATCTAACCTTTGGTGTGAAGCTTCAGTTTAAAC